AACTTGCCTATATTTACAGTATTACAATGGCAAAAAACATTACACTTAACCACAAGGAGCATAATCTCAGAAACCTAAGAATGCTTTGAGTTCTTAGCCACTCATTTATTGAAGAGCCTAACATAAATAGGGATGCAATTTACAGAACTTTTATCTAAAAATAAATACAGTGAACCACCATAAACATAGACTGGAGTGAACTTACAGTGTTTACAATGTTAACCATTAACTCACTGGTTGGCTCAATATACATTACATGCAGTTTACAAAAAAAAAAATCTGATTCAGTAGATAAAGCTATTATCAAGAATAGAATGCAGTTAAAAACCGTCTGCTGAAGTAATACAGTATCCAATGACACACAATGTAAATCTTGATGTATATCAAACACGATGTAAATCTTTCATGACTTGAGGCATGTCATGAATTTTTTTAATCTAAATATGCATTTTAGAAGCTAATCAGAAAAGCTACATACAAAATCCTATTGGATATTTCTAAGCATTTAAAATTAGGTAAAAAAATAACCTAAGCTTGGTATACATTTTTAACACAACTCTTATCAATTTCAAAGACAATCACTCACATACAGGTTCCTTTTGTTTGTTGTCATATTACTTTTATAATTTGATTTCTTAGCATTTGAGGAAGTTATCAAAGCACTAAACTCTTTAAATGAAAGAAGCCCCCTTCCAAAAAAAGCAAACCCCTCAAAAAAGGAACTAATGATCTGGAAACTTTTAATAACGAATACTAAATTACTGTGCTTTCTCTGTACTCTACGTTTTGACACTCAGTTTATTCTCGATGAAAAGTATGTATGAAGAAGTTAATTATAGAAAATTTAAATGTCTTACAAACATCACTAATTAAGATACAGTCAAAAGTCGTTAATTCGGACACCCATAATCCAGAATGACCTATAATCCGGGCCTCAAAGCTAAAAAATTTTCTGCGCATGCGCCGTGTTAACACATGCGCACAGGCGTTTTACGCGAGCGCGTAAGAACTTGACTACTGCGCATATGCGTGTGAGCAAGCGCAGAATACGTTTTCGCCTGCGCGTTTAATGTATAACGGACGGTTGTAGGCTAAAATTATCTAATTATCTATTTCAGTTAATGTTAATGATTGCGTTGTTCCTTAATCTTCGAATAGGATCCCGCTTATTATTTTTTGCAGACTGTAAGAGCAATTTTATAAAAGTAAACTTGAACTTTCGATTATGTCAAATAGAATTTCCGATGCTGGAACTTCCAAAGGATCTACAAAACGAAAGAAAGTATGTTTCAATGTCCAACAAACAAAAAAAAGTGTGAAATTGCTGAAAAAAATGGATAAAGACATGAAGAATGTGACAGAGAGGTTAGTGAAAACGAAAAAATTTCCATTGACCAGTTAGTCGGTATTCTCGGCACAGCAATTAACGGGACTTGAACAGCAGAACTCTTTAACTGAAAAGAAATTATGTCTGTTTATAGAATTAAAGAGAAAGTATTATCACATAAAATGAAGCAACTTAAACAACTTACATTGAAAGAAATGTTTAATAAAGTAAACAAATAAATATTAAGCTTTTTTTTTTGTAAATTTTGATACCCTTTAAATCATAATTGTTCTTTATTTCATAAATTACGGTTTCATATTTTTAATTTTAGAATTTCTGCATGCCATCTGACGAGATTTAAACTGATGATCTATAATCCGGAAAAATCGATAATCCAGAATCGCCGAAGTCCCGACGAGTCCAGATTAACGACTTTTGGCTGTACTTACTTTTTTCACCATTTTTGATAGAATAAATATTTTTATCTCTTAGTTTATGCAGTCAAAATTTTCAACTCAAGTAAATTGGCAATGTCTACCAGAAACTGGGACTATAAAAAAACAAACTCGTGCATCTCATGTTGTTGGGCATGTTGTTTTTTCAATCATAAAAAGCAAATCTACACAAACTCTGTAGAACACCGGAGACAGACTTCACATGAATAATAATTATAATAACAAAGAAGACAATGTTTCGAAAACCTAACACTGCACTGCAAGATCATGATGCTCAGTTATATGTGTGGCTTCAAAAAAAGAAGGGAATCACAGCAATAACAGTTAATACCAAAAAAATGATAGGCATAGAATTTAGGCTGATGATGTTTGCTAAAATCATTGCTCAAAATCATCATGGTAAAAAGCAACAAACTAATGTGAATAATCATAGTAAGTTGATTAAATTTTTCTATATATGTAAAGAAAAACTGCTAATCTCTGTGCAGAGTTATAGATCATATTTTAGTCAGATTTGAAATCATCCCTCAAAAGTTACTGCAGAATTTTAAAAGAAAAATGTAATATATTATGGCAAAGCACTTGAGAACCTAAAAAGATGTTATTATACTAGATTTCTAACTTATTCGCTGCCATTTACTAGAATACATAGGGTGTTCACACATTTTCTTAACAACTTTGCAAAGATTTATATATAAACAAACCTTAGAATTTTGCTTACTAATATATTTAGACTGATAGCCCTTTTGTTGATCTATTATATTACATCTTGATTTTCAAGAAAAAAGTCCTTTTTTTTAATATCAAGGTTGATTTTATTCCACTCCTCCTTCACAGTCTTCCAGAGGTCCATCCAATGTTTTGGAATGCCACTTATAAAGAGCTTGTTTTAAAAACCCAAATGCACAGTAATCCATAGGAGACACATCAGGGGACTAGGATGGAATGCATTTAAAGGGAATAGCTTCCATTTCAGTTTCATTTCTCATTTTTTCAAAAATAGAGAAGTAGATTTAGACGTATGCTTAGAGCCTAATCCTGATGAAATTTGAAACAGTGAAGACTGGATAAAGAGATGGAATTTCTTCTTTAAAAGTAGGTGTTATAACATATTTCTGATAGTAATCCGAATTAATTTTGACATATTTTCTACTTTTCTCAAGTTTTCTTTTGTAAGAGAATCCAATAATAAGCATAAAACCTTCAAAAAAACTTTTCTTGTTTTCTCTGAATCAACATATTAGTCTTTTCCTCCTCTTTTTCAGTAGTACATCAATCTTTTCCTATTACAACCAAATATGTATATCCAAGCCTCATCAATTGTAACTATATATTTCCATTTTTCACCTGCCAAATAATTTTCATACAGCAATCTGCACATAGCCTTACGCTGAGAAACATGCTTCGGGGTTAGGCGATGAATAGCATTTTTTTTTTTTTTTTTTTTTTTTTTTTTTTTTTTGTTTTTATTAACTTTAAATCATATTTTATAATTTTGTGCACAGTTCCTACACAGATATTTAAAAGGTTTTGGAATAGTTCTTCGGGTGGAGGGCTGGAATTTCCTTTAAAACATGAGATGTGACTTTAGATTTAATTAGAGCTGTATGTACCTTTGTTGGGTATGCATTTTTTGCATTTTTCTCAGTCAGATGTAAACTTGGATGTTTCTTTCCTTTTATATTAATAAAGTCACTTATTTTACACGTAAAAATATTAAATCATGCTTTTAACATCTTTTTTTAATAACTGAATAAGAGTATTTCTTTTCGGAAAGTGCAAAAATATAGCTTTCGGTACATTGTTTATTTTTCAGTGACATTTTAAAGAAAAGAATATTTTTAATGCTGCAGGCGATAATTAAACTTTATTCCAATTTGATGCCAGTCACATCCAGCTATGAAAATACTTGCAGTTGATTGTCATATCTAAATCACCGAGTGCAAATACTGCTATAGTAGATGCATACAAGGTTTAGGTGTTTGGTGTAAAGGAAAGGCTGAATAATACTATACTTGGAATATTGAAGTGGAATTTTTCGAACTGTAGATACAATAACTGTTTAGAATACAAAAACTAATCTATTCATAGCACATTCTGAAGATCACAATAAATAAAAGACATTATATTATGTTGAAATATGACTATGTTGAACTATGAGCATACTTGTGTGGATTTATTCCTACTAAAAGTGATCTATTTTATTTATATTTAAGTAATAAAATTTTAAGCATACAAGTAAAGCCAAAATCTTGACATGTGTGAATGGACACACCAGAGCAACTTGAGTGAAAATGTAAAAGAAAACTGGGTAATATTTACATTACACAAGTAACCCATAAAAATCCTAAGCACTTAACTCATTCATTGAGAACTGAACTCAGGTTAAGTTAACAGCAATATACAATCTTATCCACTCAGTCATTGGTGGGCAGAAAGTATATATACCTAAACAGAAAATTATAAGTACTTGTGTCTTATTTTGAACTAGAATATTACTGAAAAGGTCAAGAATATTCCCATGTCCATACCATGAAAATAAAATTAAATGTTATTAAAGAATATGAGTTCTGGAAGTACAACACCAAAAAGTGCAAACAAAAGGTATGAATGAAAGTGAGAAACTGATTTAGAAGAAAAAGGATCCTACTTACCATAGCAATATGATTCATTTACTGCTGACACCAGCTGCCAAAAAGTGCATTTGAGAAATATAAAAGTAACGTATTGGGTAGGCAGTATCCATTGGAGGAAAAAGAAGATAATCTGATCACTGCTATAGTTACTTCTACAGCAACTGAAACAACTGGTACTCAGTCTACCCGCAATTACCTTAGCATCAGCAACTGCGTCCACATACAAATATCAGTTTTTTAAGCTATTTTAATTCAAAGCAATCCTTAATTTTTGCTGCCATCATTCAGCTCTATACAGATTTATTTTATGCTATGTAAAACCAAATACATAATTTCTGCAGTTTTTTCTCAATATATTTCAAAAATACAAGTCCTTAAAATAAAATGCTCTGATTATTAAACAAATAGAAAAAAAAAACCTTTCTGATGTTCCTAATGAATTATGCTAGAATCTAGAGAAACTTTTTACAGCAGAAAATACTGACAGTTTCTTATTTTTGTCAAAAAATTATATTGAATACTCATTTCAAACATAATAATAAATAAACAAATTACATAAAACTGCATGGCAGTATTTCTTACTGTTGGTTTGATAATAATTCCTCAGATCTTTTCACAAAAAATGGGAAAATGTAATAGAGGCAATGAATTGCTCCTGCATACTGTTGATGCTCCATTAAAGTCGAAAAACACTGTAGGCCCTCAGTTACCAAGCTCTGTACTCTAAAATATCAAAATATGCATTTATATTGATAAAACCGCATTTGTAATAAATATGTTAAAAATTTTAATACACATACATTCAAAAGTAATTTATTAGTCAAAAAACAAGCACAACCAATTATTTTAATTTTGCATCTTTATTCACATAAGAAAACTTGATTCTGATATAAGATAAGCACTTTTTTAATAATACTATTAGAAATACTATAACAGCATTTATTAATCAGAAGCAAATGAATTAGTAACCTAAGCTGAGAAATGAATATTATGAAAAACAGCAGAGTTAACAGTGAACAGAAAACTATTACAGCCGCAAAAGCAAAACTGCTACTTTCATAATTATTTGCAACTCCCAAAAAGGTATTCACAATAAATAAAAGACATTATATTATGTTGAAATATGACTATGTTGAACTATGAGCATAGACATCACCTCACATAAGTGTATTTATGTGGCAACCCAGGCATGCAGCGCCAGTCTTTAGTGTTTTGCTTTTGTTGCACTGACAATTATTGTTAGAGTTTGTTTTTGTTGCACTGAGTGCACCCTCTTTTTTTTCTTTCCCCCCTTTCTTGTAAAGAACTGTAATGAGACAGTGAAGTTTGTCAGCTAATGAAAAAGCAAAATGTACTGCAGTTCTTCAGAAATATGACATTTTGCCTAACAGCAGAAAATGTAAAAATTTGCTTTGTGCAATTTGTATGCCTATGCTAAATTTGTGCAATTCTCTATTTTTTTTAAAAACAAAAACGATTTTTTCTGCATTTGGGAAAACAGAGTGTACAATCCCAAATTTGTGCAATTCTCTGATGTTTTCTCAAGGAAAAATAAACTACTCTGTACATGAGAAGAATGGCAGTGTATGCAGTGCCAAGTCGTGCATGATGCCAAGTTTCTGCAATACTCTGATGTTTTTAGAAGCTAAAATAGATCGCTGTGCACGTGAGAGAACAGCACAAAAAACAAAACCAAAAAAAGCCCATTTACGGATATTTCCTGCATATTTAATTCTGTCAATTGTTTGCTGTTTAACATAATTCTTAGTGCGACACCATTTTTGAAAATGGCTGTTGTCTTGCATATCTCAGCTTGGTGAAAAATTACTTGCCAATAGCTGGTGAATTTTCAGGAAGGGTATTTCAGGTGCGTATAATAGTATAGTTCAATGACATCATTACATCAATGGTTCACAATCAGCTCAGTAGCATCCACTGGTGATCACCGAAGAGACTGAAATGAGCATTTTTGGTCCAAGCCAAATTTAGCTCTGATAACCAACTGCTGCCACTGCCCTCGGGGCAATAATCACGAGATTGCACTGAACAGTTTGATTAATATTAAAAGTTATATAATGAATGTTTCAACAAATGGTTCTAAATGTCTTTTAAACCTTAAATGTCCTTCACTAATCTGTGTGTTTAAAATACCGGAACACCTGAAATTCCATTTGAGATCCACAATTACCCCTCCCCCAATTAACAAACAAACAGATGTGGAAGTTTCATACAGTATCATTTCTAATTGCATTCTTATGCGTATCTTAGAGAAAGGATAGAAAAAAGGGCTATTGCAATCTCAGTTATTTAGGCAGCTATGGTCGCAGCTTTGATCCTAATAATATTTTTACTAGTACATGAACAAGTTGCTGTATATGCAGTGCACCAGATGGAGCATCACATATGTGTGTGTATTCCGGCTTGGCCAACAAAGCTTATATTTCAAGTTTGTACAGAACAACAGTATCTCAGAGGAACGTGGCGATTTAAAATTCTTGATGATAAATATGGCACCAAATATCGAAAAATTAATGTTATTACATTAAGCTCAACACTGCCGCTAATAATATTATATAAAATTTTTTATAATACATGCAGTGTCTCAGCTGGAATGTTTAAGATATGGAAAGGTTTATACGAGTATCTTACAAATGCATTTAGAGGAAGTGGTTGCATTACATGAAGATGAACATTCTGTTCACACTTTCAAATTGCAACTGAAACTGAAAGATTCTGAAACAACCTATGCACAACAGCAGTATTTTGCTTTTCCTTTGAGCATATGCATCCTTCTGCTACAATACTCCTCTGCCCTGACAGGAAGCATTTCCCACACTCCAAGGATGTCATGACAGGCCCATCTATTGATGAAGAAATAAATATGCTGCCACATATATATATATGTAATCAAAATGCACAGATATGTTAGTACAGTAGCAATCCCAAGAACCTATAAAAATGCTCACACCACAAAGCATCTCAAAGATTAGAATCTGCCACATATGAGCTCTTTTCTGATAGCAGTACAGTATTTTACTGCCACAGAGATGAACTATGATCGAAACCCAAGGTCATTTACCATCAACAAAGATATCAGAAACTTGTATGATACATTTTCTACCACTGTGATATGAGCAAGAATAAGAGAGGTACCAGTCAAGCACTGTTTGGAAACGATGGAAATGGGCTGTTTAAATTATATGTGGATATAAGTCCAAAGACAGTGAAGTCTGATAAATGACATTTAAAAGTATCAGCAGTGTTGGCACAGTGGTGAAAGGAACAAAAAGGCAAGCTGAAAAGCCTGGTCTTGTGTAGCCCTGTCATATTGAAGAATTTAAATAACATATTTATTAAAGCGAAAAACAGATTAAATGTAACAAGTTCATTAATACAGAGCCTAGCTACAAAAAATGAGAAAGATCGCTGGATATAAAAGCTCTTTGTGAGACATCACCGTGAAGTTGCCACATCTGTTCTTTTATAAAAAGTGAGCTATGACCCAAAACATTTAAAAAAACAATGGGTTACATTATTATTTCAGGAACAAGAGCCTATATTTCTTATTCTTCTAAAAAAAAAGGCGTGAGTCCCCCCCTCTGAAAAGAGGGTAATGGGCTAGAAATGTTTGGGAAACCTATGCATTAGATAAAAATAAACAACTTACATTATGCAAAAAATTCCACAAAAAGTACATTAAATTTAAAACTGTCATTTATCCTAATGCCAATGAAAGAGCATGGTTCTCAGTTTTGATAACTGTACCATTAAACAAAATGAAACTCGTCCTCCTACATTTTAAAGATTATTTAATTATCAAAATTTAAGTTATATACTTAAATTTAGTGTAAAATTTGGGCCTGTTTAAGAGAGATCAATTTCTTTGTCTGGCCTTATTTCACTTAGCTTTAAGTGTGATCCACTTTTAATTTTATTCTGTATTTATTTTTCAAATAAAACATGGAAGAAAATCCTTGTTCACACAAATAGGTTGTGCGAAAAGGCAATAAAAATTTAGCTTTATTTGAAATGCCTTTAAATTCTTTTTTCGTTCAGTCAAAAGTTTGTGTTATTTTTTTTAATCTTTAGTTAAGAGTTCGATCACAAGAAATTACTATCAACTGTTCTTTTCCTTCACAAGATTTTTGAATTTAATAGATAAAAATGTTTTTGTTTCTTTGCATACCACGTATTTTTCTCCTGTGTATCACTGGTGGTATGTGTACTAGCGGTTCAGAATTGCTGCTTTAGAGGATTTTATCCCCATTCCTTATAGTTTAAACACACTTAAAAACATGTTACTTAAAATTTTAAAAATGAGGAAACATATTTTGTCCTTTCACTACACCTTCTTGCTACACATTTTATTTTACTATGGTCTCCATATGTGTATATATATAATATTAATATCCTTTCTTTATTTTATTTCTTTATAAAAATTTTTTATCTACATTCTGTTACAAATCATGAACATCTTAACAAAATTATACATGGCTTTAGCTCACATCACTTAACAATGCTGCCTATTAAAACCAAAGTTATTTTGAAAAAAAATATTTAAAAAAGTCAAATAAAATTTTATTTATTTATTTATTTATTTATTTCTTCTTTAATGAAATAAATGAATAATTTTATAATGAAGAAAACTTAGACAAATCGAAATAAATAATGAAACTAAAAATACCAACTAATAAACAATTCCTTCCAAAGTTAATTTTCAAATAAACAGAAAAGTCGCAAAACTACCTATGTCCTTTACTTGTCATAACAATAATAAGATAGCAAGCAGCAGGATGTTTCTGTTCATACGCAGTCTGTAAGGTCTGAAGAATATGATCATCAGAAATATCTGGAACTTCACCATCATATATCTGTACCCATGGTGGACATTTTGTATCCATGATATGAAGTTTCAATGAAAATAAGCAGTCCCATGCCCAAGGCACAAAACCTTGCTCTTCTCTGTAATAATTAATAGATGCAAACTGCAGCATCTGAAAATTTAAAATAACTTCAATTTTAATCTATCAATATTTAACATAGAAATATTAAAGGAAGAAAAACTTGCAATCTGAAAATTTCAGATTACAATCCAACATCTCAAACATGAATCTACCAACAAAAATAAATAAAACATAAATAATAAATCTGAACAAAAACAATCTGATCTTGATTTCTGTTTAACACCTGAAATAATTTAATCCTATTAATTTAACGAACAATCTTTAAAATTCAAGATACAGAATAAAAAATCAAGTATTTAAGATTTTTTTAAGTTGTTCAAAAAACAACTTGCAATGATATTTAACCACAAAAATTAACACCACATGGAAAATTTTGCATCTATTTAAGAAAGAAAGATTTAATTATTCAAGATAAAGCAGTGCATATTTTCAGTGAATTTCTTGCATCCATGGAATGTAACAAATATGAGGCTTGCAACATGTGAAGTGGAAAAATTATTTTATTTCATCATAACATGGAATCTGCATACTGAAATCAAGAGTATTTGTATTCAGGTGTTGATATAAAAAATAATAATGCATACGCTTCTCTTTTCAAATAAAAATATGTACTACTGCTAAACCATATAAAATTAAATTTCTACTGCTGAATACACTAAAACTCAAATAAAAAAATAGTTTATTTTTAAACACTCCATTATCTGTTTCTGTATTTCTTTTTAGAATATAAAGTGATAGGGAAAGAAAACAACAGAAAATTATAAAAATATTAAAAACTTATTATGATTTTACATATTACTATTTTTTATATTAGACTTTTCCAGATTTTCAGATGTGTTTCAAGAAAATTCTGGGCTATCTGCATAGTGCATGTTGGCTGTGCTAAGAGTAAGTTAATTATAGTACCCCTTGAAAACACAAAAATTGGCTAATTACATGACTTTACATATATACAGTCAAAAGCCGTTAATCCGGACTCGTCGGGACTTCAGCAATTCCGGATTATAGATCATCAGTTTAAATCTGGTAAGATGACATTTAAAATTAAAAATATAAAATTATGAAATAAGAAAATTATGATCAAAGCTATCAAAATTTACAAAAAAAAAAAAAAAAAAAAAAAAAAAAAAAAAAAAAAAAAAAAAAAAAAAAAAAGCTTAATATTTATTTGTTTACTTTATTAAACATTTCTTTCAATGTAAGTTGTTTAAGTTGCTTCGTTTTATGTGATAATACTTTCTCTTTAATTCTATAACAGACATAATTTACAAAGTTCCGCTGTTAAAGTCCTATAATTGCTGTGTCGAGCATACCGAATAATTTGTCAATCGAAATTTTTTCGTTTTCAATAACTCTGTATCACATTCTTGTTTATCGGAAGTGAATTATAATGACGAGGAATTTGATTTAAATCATATCAAAGACGGAGTACATCAAGATGAAATACTACATTTAGTAAGGAATTCTAAGCGAAATAAAATAAAAACATCTGCCAAATCATTGCACGCCGCGGCGTTTCGGCATCCCCCCTGCCCGGGCCGCAGAGCAGCATGAAATTGATAAACAGATTTCGGAATGGTTTGAGAAACGAAGGATATGCCTTTATCCATTTTTTACAGAAATTCCACTTTTTGTTTAATGGACTTCTAAACATACTTTCGCTTTGTAGATCCTTTACATAACAGTAAATACATATCGGAAATTCTATTTGACATAATCGAAAGTTCAAGCTTACTTTTATGAAATTGCTCTAACAGTCTGCAAAAAATAATAAGCCAGATCCAATTCGAAGATTCAGGAACTACGCAATCTGCAACATTAACTGAATTAGATCATTTTAACTTAGCTTATACCGTCCGTTATACATTAAACGCGCACTCGTAAATGTATTTTGCGCACGCGCACAAGCATATTCACAGCCACAGAGGTCTTACGCGCATGCGCCAACGTGACGCATGTGCAGAAAGTTTGTAGGTTTGAGGTCCGGATTATAGATCATTCCGGATTATGGGTGTCCGAATTAACGACTTTTAACTGTATATATATATAATCCCCAAAGAATTACTTTTATAACTATAATAGAAGTTGTTTTCTCAATTGAAGGTTGAGCTTACAATCTGCCCAATCAGAATTTTAAAATGGCTTTTCTGCACACATTCTCAACTGATGATTGAGATTAGAATCTGCCCAATCAGAATTTTAATATGGCTTTTCTGCAGACATTTTTCAGTTAAAGGAAGAAATAAATCTACTTAATGATATTTTAAAATAAATTCAAGTATTTTATATTAATTTAGCAGCATACATAAGTAATAAATATGTGCATTAAATTTCATGTTAAGGATTAAAAGGATGCTTAAAAATCGGTGGTATTTTGGCGAATACAGATTATTATTAAATGGTTAACTCAGATGACTTTTGTTTTACTGTAAAATGACAAATAAGGCATTTAAGAAAGAAGAAAGGGGTAAAAAGATTTTATTTTATATGAGAATGGGGGAATTTACTTTCACTTAACATGTACTGCACTTGTGCAATCGAATCTCTGGATTCTCAAGGTTACAGGAAACTTGCTTTGCCTTTCTAAAAGACAATCTGATTAGCGCTGCAAAAACTGGCTCTGTGCCAGCTGTTCGAATGACACTCTCCAAGAAAGTGATAACTTCTGATGTTGGAATGAAAATCACTTTTTGGGGGATCACAGTCTGAAATTCCCTGACTATTAAAATATTTAAATTCTCTGATTTTCCTTGATTTTTTGGTCAATTTTCTAATTCCCTGACTTTTCCCAGTTTTTCAGGTTTTCAAGGTAGCGTGGCAACCCTGTTTAATGTTCCTTTTTGTTTCTACTATTGCCCCCAACACAGAGGAAAGTATTTTGTGCATTCAATGTTGTAGTCCAAAATATGAAAATTTTCTTGAACTGAAATGAACTCAAGAAAAATATGAAAAGTAAATTAAGAAACAACACAAATATGAAATAAAACAGAGCTCTGCTCCATTGTTTACCAAAATTAACTGAAATAAAAGCATTCTTCGGAGGTCACCATTTAGTTCAATAATTACTGGATTATTTTCTTATTAAAAGAATAATACAAATTTCATGAAATCAGTTGAATTACCTGTATGGTGTATGCATACACCCTTTTGACCGTGTATGCATTTTAATGTTTTTTACTTAATTTACTAATTAAAAAACAGCATAGAGCAATAAAATTAAAGGAAATTTAAATCAACAAACAAAATTTATTAAACATGACTGATAATAAATGTATTCCAATTTTGAGACTTTTACAAAGGGAGAAAAGTTGTTGTTATCAAACATTGATATATTATATACTGGCGTAATGTAAAGTTCGCAAACCCATTCAGTTCAAATCAGTGTTGCCAGTATCAGAATGTAAAAATGCCCATCAGTCAAATTGACCGATGTGTACTTATATGTGTTAAGTTTGTTCAAATCATGAAAATTCACCTAGAGAGAGCACTATGGCAAAAAGCTTGCATTTATTATTAGTGAAAAGACAGCTAAAATGAAATATTAAAAATTTTAAGCTATGTAATAAATGACAAAATTTCATTTTCAGTATTTTAGAAACTAAATACACACTGTTGTGCCAAAACATTATGAACACCCCCAAATTTTGCAATGAACTCGTTAGGATGATGTGGAAGGCACATGTTTAAGTGGAAATGGTATTTAACTGCTGCTGGAGAAAGTAAGTAATCATTCTTGCACTTGGAAAAGGCTGCTGATCTAAGTAAATATGATAGAGGGCAAACTGTAATGGTCTGAAAACTCAGATTGAGTATCTCTGAAACTGCATGAGTAGTATGTTGTTCATGTTCTGTGGTTGTTGGTATTTATGCAAAGTGGATAAATGATGGTAAAATCAGCAGTAGATGCCAATATGTTGGAAGTCCACGCTCCATCAAAGAAAAAGGACGTTGGAGACAATTCTGGTTATAGCAAACAGTTATTGGTACAGCAAAATCGGTGCAAGCAGTCCAATACAGCTCAGCAGACAGTCCAATACAATGCAAATCCAAGTGCAAGTGTTTCGAAACACACAGTTAAAAGACACTGATGGATATAGGACTGCGCAGCAGACGTCCCACTCATGTGCCTCTCTCTGTTCACCAAGCGTCACTGTCAACTACGTCTACAGTGGGCCCAGAAACCTTGAGACTGGACCATGGATAAATGAAAGAAGTTGGCTGAACAGATGAATCATGATTTCTTACTCATTACGTCAATGGTCGTGTTGGTACACCATCTTCCAGGCAGTAAAAGTGTTGGGAGCACCAGAACTTCATGAAAGATTGCACATGTAATAGCTCCCAATCACTAAGATGATTTCCCTTAATCACTATTTGCCTAGAAGATGGATCCCAATCACCATCTTCCAGGCAAATATTTGCTCCCCCCTCCTGTACAGCAGGTCACACACAGGCTGGTGGTGGTGGTATTATACTTTGAGGCAGCTCTGAGACCCTTAGATATGGCAGAACATACTATGAAACTGCAGACTATCTAAACATAACTGTGGATCAGTTGCACCCTTACATGGAGTCTTCCCAAATGGAAATGTTATCTTCCAGTAGAACAACGGCCCATGTCATAAGGCTCGAAATGTGTTGGAGTGGTTCGAGAAGCATAAGGATTAATTCCAATTATTGCTCTGGCCACCTAACTAGCTGGAGGTCAACCTGATAAAGCATATTTGGGATGTCATTGAACGGCATTGCAGAGCTCAAAACACCACCAGATCGGAATATCTCGACTTTGCGTGACAGTTGCTTAGACATTTGGTACAACCTATCTCCAGTCATTTACCAAGAACTTGTAGCATCCATGCCGAGGCAAGTTCAGGCCAAAGGTTGCACAATGGGTTACTGAATAGGTAGTCATAATGCTTTGGCTCTTCAGTGTATGTTCCATGATCTCACACGCTTGAAGCAAGCAAAATGGAACAAATGGAAAGTATAATACTCTTTGTTTTGTATATCAATATTGAATTAATTGAAAC